AAAACTTCCCAAAAATTTAGTTTCAAACTTGACTTTTGTATTATTATTCTCCAATTTCGATTTTCCCACAACCGCTTATTAGATCCAATTCTATATTAAAAAAAAACTATTTTACGAAGTATTTTAGTATATTTTAATTCTAAAATTTATGTAAATTAAAAATTCGCAATAAAGATATGCGCCACTTTTATGCGCAAGATATGCGCAACAAACAATTTACAGAACGAAAGTTTTAATAACGGTTGTTTATATGAAAGGAAAGTAATAGGGGAAGATGTTAAGGAAAAAGAAAGGAATATAAGAGATTGTGATAAAGCTTTGAGAAAATTGCTTAGCTTGAATTCGATAGTGATATACCCTGGCCTTCAAAAATTAAGCGTTATCTGAGTCTCTGTTGAAAATGAGTTAGCGTTAAAGTATATTAAATAGTTTTTAGGCAATAGACATTTATAGACATTTAAACACAAACGTGACTTCTGTTTTATAATAAAAAAGCACTGCAAGGAAGATCTGAAAAAACATTTTCTTCTTTATCTGAGAAAACAGTAGTGCGGTGCGATAAATAAAAAACGGAACCCTCTAAATAATGTTTAATCTAAAAGTTAGATTTTCACGTTTTAGGAATCAATGTTGATGGGTTCCGACCACTTAGTGTTAATTTTCTTTTTGTGCATTTCGCCTTATCTCGAGAACTTTTTAAGCGAATAGAAATTTTTTTTGCACCCAATAGTAAAATTTCTTTATCTAAACATAATTTCGTGCAAAAATAATTTAAAACAAAAAATAATTAGAGATTTGAAGAGAAACGTGACACGTTAAAATAACACTGGAGTAATAAATTTTTAAACCATTACAGTGGTTAAGCTATGACGGCAAGCGTTTCAAAATTTTGTCCCCCCCCCCTACTTTTGGCGTGATAAATCTGAATTCGATTGTAAAAAGGTATATTTCTTCAGAAAAAGTGCGTTTTTTGGTCAAAACATATTCCGCCATGGTTGCATTTAACTGCTATACATATTTAAAATTTTTTTTTGGAGATATTACCAAAGCACTTTATAGAATAAAAATACGACCAACCGTTTGAAAGTTAGAAAGGTGATCTTTTTTTTTCTTTGAGAACTGTACATACATTGTATGTATAGGTAATGTATGCTATGTTGATAAGTATACACTATATATACGTATTTCTGTAGTATGTGTGTACAGTGCATAAAAGAAACTAACACCCGGAATAACTTTTGGTTTAATGATCGGTTAAAAAAATTTCATATATTTTTTTTTGGGCCCCCCCCCCCAAAAAGAAATTCGAATAGAAATTCGAATTTCTTTTTTTGGGGGGCGGGGGGATTCGAATAGAAATCGGTTAAAATAGAAATTCGAATAGAAATCGGTTAGAAATTCGAATTCGGTGAAAAACGGTATGTTTTTTCAGAGAAAGTAACTTCTATCACCTTCATTTCATTAAATATCAACTTCTTTCAATTCTACACTAAAGGTAAACTCAAATTATATGTTACTTGTTAACATTTATATGTAATCAATTAAATAAGTGCAGTAGAATATCAATAATTTTCTTTCCAGGGAAACGGTATTCTTAAATTTCCATTAAGAAAATCGGGTAGAGAGAGCAACTTTGAACAATATACATAAATTTAAAATATATATATATAATNGTATCACAATTTATCACAGACTCAGTCATCTGATCGGGAAATTTTGTTCCTAAAAACTGCACTTGTTTTTTTTTCTGACTCTCTGAAAGGCGATCTTCTTGCATTTGTATCATATGCCGTCTTTTTTTCTTAAGAATTGATTTTAACTCATTTGACGTCCAAGTTGGATATTCCGATGATAATGTACCACTATCACTTGATGATTCATACAACTTAGCACTACACAGAATTTCAGAAGAATTTCTTTCTTGTAAAGCTGCTGAATAATTAATATTTTTTTCGATATTAGATACATCTTCAGAAAGAAGGGAAGACATAGATTTTGACAACTCTTTATTGTAAGATCTATCTAAAGAATTCCGAAAAGGTGAATAACTTTTATATTTCATCACAGTTGTTTCATCATTATCATCATAATCTGGATCTGGTATACAAATACTGTCATTGGAGGACCAGTTTTTACTACAAGAAGAATTTTGGAACGGAATTAGAGTTGGGGATTTAGAACGGTGATTTTGACTATGAGTAAAAATTCTTTGTCCACACACCAATACACTACTAGTTTCTTTGTAAATACTGTTTTCATTTTGTCGATTATGATTTGTTAGAGAGTTTGAAGGATATTTGTCATTTGCTATTACGCTATCACATACATTATCGTCCAAATCGCTATCTTCAATTTCTGACGCGCATGGAGTTTTAACGATTTTTTTTATCAGATCATAAGCAGTAACATCACATTCAAGAATTGATTTTCTAGAAACATCTTTGGTAGTACCCTTGTGGCCATATTTTAAATATCCGGAGACACATTTTTTATAACCAGTCATTCGACTGGAGGGAATCTTATCCTCAACTGTTTTGTCGGATAATTTTTTATTTGCACCATAACAGCTTTTCACACATTTTGGCCGTTGCTTTACACTTTCAGGAGGACGTCGGAGACAAACACAATTTCCAGCAGCAGCAGCAACAGGAGAAGCAAAGACTGCATTGAAATAGAAATAAATTAATAAATAGAAAATATATGGAGAGCTAAAAAGAGAATAGTTCATATTAGTAAACAAAGTGTTTCATATTATGCTTTAATTATACGTGTGCAAGTTCCATAATAGTTAAGAGCAACATTTTTTTAGTTTTAATGGTGATATATAATTACTGCGAGAGAGATATACTTTTTCTCAATGAAGATCTGTCAACTATGTTTTTCTTACGTCATTTGACAACTTAACAGTGATTGCTCAGAGTTCAGAAATTTATAATAATGTCTTCATCAAAATTGTGGATTTTTAAAACTGATTGCTTTTTAAAACCATAATTAATGTTTTGTTTCTGCAAGTTTTTCTATTGCGTGTCATTTATTTCGATTAAAATTTTTTTGTGTTAATAAGTTATTATTGACTAAAAATTTTAAATTTTTAATCTGGAAAAAGTTTTAAAGATTTTAATAATTGATTTAAATTCTTAAGATTTCACGCTAGAGCCCGTTTGAAAGGGTCTAATTTAGCAGCGCACGAAGCGTTGTTTTCATAGAATTGTTATTTCAATTATTTAATTAAAATCGTTGCCATCTTGTAAAATAATTGTAATAATCGGAAAAATTGTGAATTGTAAGGTATACAAATTTTTATATTTTTCAAACAATTACTTTTTTAATGGCAAAATTTGAACAAAATTGGCAGAATAATTTCGAAGAAATAAAAGAATATGAGTTGTGAATATTTTTTTTCGAAATGTAAAACATTCATTATTTTAAAAGTCAAATTTTTTTGAACATGAATAAGTTGAACAAAAATCAATATAATATTAATAATTTTTTACATTAATTTAGCTTTGGAAAAAAAAGTCCGTGAAAAGTATAATTAGGTCGATAGATAAAATAAAAAGCGAAAATGTAAAAATGACGTTAACGGGATTAAAGTGTCTTAAACAGTCTAGTAGCATAAAATAATCATTGAAATTGTGCTTCGTAAGCAGCTTTGAACAGACGACATAATTTTGAGCTTACGACTACCAATGTTCTACTCCGTAGCCTTGAAATTTTGAACCCAATCCAGAAGACAAGAGAACCCCTGGTTGAAGTATTGGGAGAAATTTGCCGTCATGGAGGACTTATTTGATGAAACTAGCCTGCATTTGTGTTACATGGAGAGGAAAAACACGAAAGCATCACATGACTAGCCTGATGGCAAGGGGACTCTAACACATGATCCGTTTACCACTAGGGATATTTTACGTCAGCATTGTGGTCGGCGAGAGCCGGGTTGTGGAATTTAAATCGACCATTGACCGGGGTCATCTCATTGGTAAGCGAGCGCTTTATACCCGGGGCCTTAAAATTGTGCTTTTTTCTTTTTAATAACGGTCGATGAATAGCCGACCCAATTTTATGATTTTACGACTACTATTGTTCAACTCCGTAGCCTTATAATTTTGAACCCAATCCAGAAGACAAGGGAGCTCCTGGTTCGAGTATTGGGAGAAATTTGCCTTCATGGAGGACGTTTTGATGGAGCTAACCCGCATTTGCGTTACATGGAGAGGAAGACCACGAGAACCTCCCACGGTTAGCCTGACGGCAAGGGGACTCTAACCCATGATCCGTCTACCATTGAGGATATTTCACGTTGGCACTGTAGTCTGTGCAAGCCAGATGCGGAATTCGTATCGACTGGGATTCGAACCCGGTTCGCCGCATTGAAGGCGAACGCTCTATCCCCTGAGTCATCGCTGCTCCTGAAATTGTGTTTGAAAATTTTAGAATTACAAAATTTTTTTACGTGTTATTTATTTAGTGCTTTTTCTACACATTCCTGAAAAAGATTTTCTACTCTAACCTTTGGATAAATTTTTATATTAGCATATAAAATAAAGATTTTCTAGTACAGATTTAATATCGGAGCTTCTGCGAATTCTCTAATTTTCAACTTTTTGTGAAATTTAGTGCTGCCTACTTAATTTACTGGACTTATGTTGATATGCCCATCACGTGCTTTGAAATGTTTTAATGTTGTAATCATGTTCCAATGTCACAAATGCAACGCTTTTGAGCTTTATGTGTGACGTCTTCGGCTGTGGGTACAGGCACACACGTCCCCGGTTTCCGATCCTTGCGTACCTGTGTGTATGAGTGTGGTATTGAAACAGATAAGTTTTTTTTATCCTATTACAAAGATAGGATTATACCTTACGTCCTTTTAGCTATGTCACATGCCAGCTTACAACCACGATGTAAGTTTGCACAGTTTTGGAAATTTTTTAAAAAAATGCAAAGAAGAAGGAATATTATGTAATTAACTAATAGTTGTAAGAGGAAACTAAACTTACCATTTTTTGCAAGGTTTCCATGGCAGGGAATCTTTTCTTTAAAAATGTCTGCTATAGTCTCGTAAGTATCACAATTTATCACAGACTCAGTCATCTGATCGGGAAATTTTGTTCCTAAAAACTGCACTTGTTTTTTTTTCTGACTCTCTGAAAGGCGATCTTCTTGCATTTGTATCATATGCCGTCTTTTTTTCTTAAGAATTGATTTTAACTCATTTGACGTCCAAGTTGGATATTCCGATGATAATGTACCACTATCACTTGATGATTCATACAACTTAGCACTACACAGAATTTCAGAAGAATTTCTTTCTTGTAAAGCTGCTGAATAATTAATATTTTTTTCGATATTAGATACATCTTCAGAAAGAAGGGAAGACATAGATTTTGACAACTCTTTATTGTAAGATCTATCTAAAGAATTCCGAAAAGGTGAATAACTTTTATATTTCATCACAGTTGTTTCATCATTATCATCATAATCTGGATCTGGTATACAAATACTGTCATTGGAGGACCAGTTTTTACTACAAGAAGAATTTTGGAATGGAATTAGAGTTGGGGATTTAGAACGGTGATTTTGACTATGAGTAAAAATTCTTTGTCCACACACCAATACACTACTAGTTTCTTTGTAAATACTGTTTTCATTTTGTCGATTATGATTTGTTAGAGAGTTTGAAGGATATTTGTCATTTGCTATTACGCTATCACATACATTATCGTCCAAATCGCTATCTTCAATTTCTGACGCGCATGGAGTTTTAACGATTTTTTTTATCAGATCATAAGCAGTAACATCACATTCAAGAATTGATTTTCTAGAAACATCTTTGGTAGTACCCTTGTGGCCATATTTTAAATATCCGGAGACACATTTTTTATAACCAGTCATTCGACTGGAGGGAATCTTATCCTCAACTGTTTTGTCGGATAATTTTTTATTTGCACCATAGCAGCTTTTCACACATTTTGGCCGTTGCTTTACACTTTCAGGAGGACGTCGGAGACAAACACAATTTCCAGCAGCAGCAGCAACAGGAGAAGCAAAGACTGCATTGAAATAGAAATAAATTAATAAATAGAAATATAATAAACATTATCAAACAAAATTCCAGAACTTATTTTTACATAAACTTTTTGAAAATTTAATATATATTTAACTAACACTCGGTTGTATGAAGCAACATTAAAAGTTCGGAATCAATTTAGAGCTTTGTATCATAATTTTTCAGTTTCGGAAAGTCCGTAGATTTGTTTCCGAAGCTTTTTTTTTTATCAAGGTTTTAGATTGAAGAGTACTTAAAAATTTGATGGTAAAAAAAATCTCTAAGAAGTATTTCTCAAGAGAGAATTTGAGAAGTTGATGGACAAAAAATAAAGAAAATCTCAATGTTGGAATTGAAGAGTATTACTGAAGGGAACTTAAGTTGATGGTAAAAACCTCAGAAGGGTATTTCTCAAGAGAATTTGCAGTTGATGGACAAAAAATAAAGAAAATATCAATGTTGGAATTGAAGAGTATTACTGAAGGGAACTTAAGTTGGTGGTAAAAGCCTCTAAAGGGTATTTCTCAAGAGAATTTGAAGTTGATGGACAAAAAAATAAAGAAAATCTTAATGGTGGAATTGAAGAGTATTACTGAAGGGAACTTAAAAAATTAATGGTAAAAACATCTAAAGAGTATTTCTCACGAGAATTTAAAGTTGATGGACAAAAAAAAAATAAAGAAAATCTCTATGTTGGAATTGAAGAGTATTACTGATGGGAATTTAAAAATTTCTTACGCAGAAGTACATTACGGCAGTATTAGCTTGGCAGCACTACAAAATAAAGTTAAATACTTTAACTAGGTACTAAATAATATAGTTATACTAGTATTCATGCATTAGTGTTGAACAATACTGGTATTGATTTATTGTACGTGCGGTATAAAAGTCTATATAATTAACATCAAATTACTGCAGAGCTGCAATTTTTTATCAAAGTACACATGGTAATAAAATGTAACCTGTATTAAAATTAATTGAAATCATATTTGAAGAGCTTAGTGGAAGAACCGGCTAAGTGACGCTTTAATGAATATGAGTAAATGAGCATTTATACGTTCCTCTTTTTTTGTTTCTCGTTCAATCTTTATGCATTCAGTATTTTTGTAAAGGCATAACTCACAAAATTTTTGGGAGTTGCTTTATTTGATTCCAACTCTTTTATAAAAGAATATTTTGACAAGTTTTGTGCGTAATATTTGCTTGTTTAAACAGGCTATTTTTAATATCTTTTATCGAACATAATTTCATTCGAAAAAATAATAAATATGCATATATTTAGGCTTATATTCACAGAATAAAATTTTAGCAACCTTAATTTGAGAAATAAACTGGTATAAAATTTTATCTAGCCTTGTTACTCCGAAAAACGATTCAGAAGCTGCCTGAACTCAATTTTCGCAAAGTAGATGTTTCACTGGTATATGGTATTATAAGTTATTACTATATTTATTATGGTAAGTAAGTTATTAATATTATGGTAAGTTTTGACTATTAGGAGTTGGTCTCGAGCTATTTAATTATGCCGAATAATTGTGGCATCATATCTCTTTCTAATTTTGTACATGATTTCGCAATGTTGATCATTACCGATTTATTGATTATTTAGTTTTATTTTAAAAATAAAAACGAGTATTCAGCTAGTAACAATAAAAAAGAACTGAAAAAGTTGTACAAAATAATATTCATTTTCAACGCTACTTTGTTTAGAAAAAAGTGTGTCCTAAACTTTCTTTAGTTTGTTTAGCGTGTCTTAAACACATACTAATGCGTACCAGAGAATTGTATGTTGAAGCTGTTTAAGGGTCATTTTTTTGTCTTTTTTAATTATTAATTCGTAAAAAAAAATGCCTCCTTAATGTATGGAAACTGCTGTTTCAAGTTATTCATTTTCACAAATTTTTTTCTCCTCGAGCCCTAGCGCTCAATCCTAAGCATAGGATTTTCTAGAGATGTTTATGAACTATTTTTATCGTTAAGTCACTTAGCCAGTTCTTCCACTGAGTATCTTTGGAATAGAACTGACCAGAAACTAAAATAAGAACTGTCCCAGAGAAATCTCAATTTTTTTAAAAATTTCTCTTAGTCGGTTCTTTCACCAAGTTCTTCATTTCAAACTTACTAAATTCTACTGCACACTAGAGAATAAATGAAAAACTAATAATTCACCGCATATTTTAAACACGTGGTAAATTTGAATTCAATTCAACAAGTAAAATAGAGCAATTAAATTTAATTAAAGATTCTCTAAGGAAAATACTATAATTTTGAAAAAATAAAATAAAGTTGGACGGAAGGAAAAGGTTAAATAATGAGACAATATATATTTTTTCTTACCCACATAAAAATCTATTGATAACAGTGATTAAATAAAGAAAAAGTCACAATCCCGTGGAGCGATGATTTATCATCACTCAATTGAGCACAAAATTATATCTATCAACTAAATGAATGTTCTACAGCAGTAGTCTCCAACCCATGAGCGTGGACCGGTATCGGTTTGTATCAAGGAACATTAAATTATTTTCATTTTATTTACTTTGGCGTATTTATCTTGGGTTTGTATAGTTTCTCTAAAGTAAGAATTACCCTAGTTATTCATCTGGACCCATGGCGGTGACTGTAGTAACGAGGTATAACTATTTCAAGTAGGGTTGTGGGGTCAATGTTTAGGAAAAGTTTTGGCTCCGGTCGGCGAATCTTCTTCTTTGGTCTATTGTGTTAGCCCTAGAGTGAAGAGAAGCTACCCTACATGAAGTGCGCTATTCTTGTTTCCATAACAGCAGACGGCATCAGACTTTGTGGTGGGGGTAGTTCTTACCGTAGACTAACTATATGACTTTCCTTGGATAAGAGGTTAACCGGGAGCAGAGAGACGTCACCTAAAGCCCTACCAATACCACGTGTGTAATTGTATTTTATTTTGAAGGCATGTTTAAATACAATTAAAGTCATTAAATCGAAACACTTTAAAATTTTATAACCGACTATGCATTATTATGTAACGACTGTGTATTTATTATGTTAGCGACTATGTATTATTCATATCAACGTCCCTTCCCCATGCGTTAAAATTATCGAATGTCGACCGGTCCGCACTGATAAAAATGTTGAGGTGCACTGCATTACGTTCATGATATTCTATATAAATCAAAATGTGTTGATGTAGTTTGTTATTTTACGTTAAACATTTGTTCAAATTTTTTTTTGAAAAAAAAAAATTTTGCTCTAAATTTGATCAAATGCTCATGTGCTTCTGAATAAACAAATCATCTTCATAGTTGGCCAGACAGCCCAATGCGGGCCAATGCCTTCCTCTGAAAATTTATCCATAACGACTTTATCCATAGCGACAGATGGAGTCGGTTTTTTTTATTTCAGGAGATATTCGGTCAACAGTAGTAATAATTCATCCTAAGTAAGTAAAACTCCTTACTGTTTCAAATCTATAATAAACTATTTCAAGATAGGGGTCAGGGAGTCTCTTTTTTGAGAAAAGCGTGTATTTTTATTCTCTACATTTCTGACTAAGCCCATTGAATAAACAAATACAAATATAAAACTTTACACATTACACATTGAAATACATTTTGTTTCAATGATAAATTATTTTTCATATCCTCTCAACTAGCAAATTTTTATCAACACACAGTTTCTTTTCCATGACAACAACTCATTTTTTAATAAACATTCACATATTCTTTGAAGTGCTGTTTTAAAAATATTAAGTTCTCTGACTCTTTGCCATGGAGACAATTACATTTTTATGGTGATTATCACTCAATTGTCATCAACAATATTTGACACTTCTCTCTTTTATTTTATTGTGAATATTTGACAATATTTTCCAGTTTTAATTTCAAACGCTTTGCAAAATTTTTATTTATTTTCGTGTCCGTCATTTATTACTTTACAAACTAATCCTATACTAGTCTTAGCTTAAAAAAAATGCAATTTTTATTCAATTTATTTCAATTTAGCAATTGAACTTTAAACGTTTGTTCATTTTTAGACCTTCTCTTCCCTTTTTCGCCTAACCAGACTTAACCTGACAATTCAACCAAAAAACTTATACTACAAGAACAGTAAAAAGTGTGATAAGTAACAGGAAGAAAAATTTAAATATAGTTATCAGAAGAAGAGATTAATTGAAAAAAAAGTTGAATCGCTGAAAGGGATATTTCCTTATTTAATGAAAATTAGACCAGCCATTGACTTTAAACAAAAAATTAAGTGCTGTTTCCGTTGCTGGTTTAATGAGGGTGTTTGATTTTCCTTGTTAGTGCACCCTTATCATCAACAAAAAATCTTTTTTTTTTACATTTATTCTTTTGATTTAATCCTTTTGTTACTGAATTTATTATTTATTATCACTGAGTTTGTTTATAATTTCCTGAGTTTTTTCACAACTTTTACTTACTTATATTTTCAGTTTTTAGATTTTTATTTATCCCAAATACATTTAAATTATAGATCACAATATCCGTAACTCAAGAAAGGTAATCAGCAAGATTTTTTAAATCTTGAATATGTTTTATCTGATAATTAAATTCCTAGAGAAATATTAACCCTCTTCTCACAATATTTTTTTATTTTTTTTTGAAAGTTTATATGAAAGGTTAATGCCTTAACGTTAGTTAATATTATAAATTCTTTACCATTTAAATATTGATGAAAGAGTTTGACAGAATCAATTATGGCCAGAAGTTCTCGCCTAATAGATGGATATTTAGATTATGGATAAGTTAATTGTCTAGAGTGAGATTCAATTGGTACGAAATTCTCATCAACTTTTGCAGCTTCTTGCAAACGCTGGACACATCAGTTACAAGGTAAAATTTTGCATTCTCATTAATATTTTTTTCAATGTAGGTTTGAAAAATAACTGTATAATGTCGAGCAATTGACAATCGTTGTTCCAATTATATTCAACATTATTTTTGCATTGCAAATTTGCCTTTTGTCACCCATCTGAACATTTTTGGAACACTCGCTACTTCTTGCGGAAATCATAACTCACATATCAAATTATAAACCTTATTCAAGCATGCAGAAAGTTTTAATCCAAAAAAGGCTATACTTTTTTTCAAAAAATAAAAAAATTATTTGAAGAAATGTTTTTTCACAGAAAATTATTAAATAGTTTCAATATCTCATGTTTTCTTATTGTAAAATCGATTCCTGTTTATACAGTTTCGAGTGTCTAGTGAGCCAATTTTAAATAAACTATTGTATTCAGGCTAGAGAATTTACTGCTTCAAATAAACAGTATTAGTTCAATACTGTTTATATACTTGTAATATTTGTCATCAGTTTAATCACTAAATATCAGCAATCTTTTGCCACAAACAGTAAAATAAAATTGAGGTAATTAATGTTACATGTTTTTAATTGTAAGAAAAACTAGATGTATCAAAGCAATTTAACCTCCGTTGTCACCGCTTCGAAATTTAAAAAGCTTGTATTTCGTTTCCACATTATTTTATGATTATTACTTATTATAGAGCAATATTTATCATATATTTTAAATAAATTATATTATTTTAATTAAATTAAATACTAATATTACTACTTTGTAAAACAAAATTATGTAGTTTTCATTATTCATTTAACAGTGCGACTAGATAAATAAGTCCATTAACTAATTTTGGACGATTGTTGCACCTCTTGATCAGCGATCCAACTCGTTTCAGAGGCTCTCATCTTTTAAGTAAACCTTATTGTTCCAATAATCCAATAATTAAGTAACCATATAATTAAAAAAACTCATTGTTTTTGAAAGATCGGAAAAAAACTTGGATTTTTGGGGATTAAACTCGGAATTTAGGGAATAAACTGTTTTCCCCCCCCTCACTCATTGTAACATTATCAACGTACCTATCTATGATGGCGACATGGCCCTCAAATTAGAAAGCACAATGCCGTACTTATTAGTAATTAGAATAATAATTAATTTTGGACGGTTGTTGCACCTCTTGAGTCGGTGATCCAACTTGTTTCAGAGGCTCTCGTCCTTTAAGTAAACCTTATTATTCCAATATTAAAAAAAAACTCGCAGTTTTTGAAAGATCGAAAAAAAAAACCTGGATTTTTGGGGATTAAACTCGGAATTTAGGAAATAAACTGTTTTTTTTTTCCTCATTCATTGTAACATTATCAACATACCTATCTATGATGGCAACATGGACCTCAAATTAGAAAGCACAATGCCGTCACATGGGTATCCAAATACTTATTAGTAATTAGTATAATAATTAATTTTGGACGATTGTTGCACCTCTTGAGTCGGTGATCCAACTAGTTTCAGAGTCTCTCGTCCTTTAAGTAAACTTTATTATACCAATATTAAAAAAAAAAAAACTCACAGTTTTTGAAAGATCGAAAAAAAAACCTGAAATTTTTGGGGATTAAACTCGGAATTTAGGAAATAAACTGTTTTTTTTTCTCACTCATTGTAACATTATCAACATACTAATCTATGATGGCAACAATGACCTTAAATTAAGAAGCACAATGCCGTCACACGGGTGTCCAAATACTTATTAATAATTAGTATAATATCTGAAATATATTTACCTTCTTTGGTAACTTCTTCATATGGATATGGATAAATAAGATCTCGCGGATTAAGACTTCTTATGGACGCATACCACATATTAGAGGGAGTATAATAATGAGGTGTTCGTAGTTGTCCATAAATTGCACTTGTTGAATGAACAGATCCATATTTGTCTTTTTTCTTAGAAATGATTGGTGGCCTTTTTAATCGAATCACTGGTTGTGTCCAGCACTGTGCTGATTCATAATGAAGACGCCGCCGATCCATTCTATCACATTGAAAATTTTCCATTGGGAATTACATGCTGTAAAATAAAGTAAAAATTTATAATTCATGTGATATATCAGTTGAAAAATTAATAAATGTGATAAAAATAAAGCAAAATACGAAAATTTCACAACGAAATTGTTTTAATTGATTTTCAATATAGTTATTGTACTGTCAAATAATATAATATCACCAAAGNTAACCTATAATCCAATACGGCGAGGGTTGAGGCGTCTTAAAGTCTTTGAAATTTCGTTTTCAAAACAGTAAACCTTTTTAAGTTCAATACGAAAATAATAGCAAAATATGAATTATTAATAACGATATAATAATAATAATGACATAATAATAATGATATGATAATAAATTGCAACCATAAATAATGACACTTTTTTCAATATTTTCATTTCTTTATTACAAAGTTTGCTCTTTGTCACATGCTACGTTATATTACATATCAGAAACAAAACACAAAACCGTATTGCAAATCTTATGAGTGTTTTAGGGATCATAACAACAATGGTTCGTACTTATTTTAATGAAAACTATGCCAAAAATAATATTAAAATGCAGTCAAAGGATAAAATTTAAAAATGAAGTCCTTAGAAGAGTTACAAACGAATGACGATTAAATTTGGTGATATGAACACATTTTTTGTTAATTACTACTAAAAACCTCAACATCGTTGGATAATCGAATTTGAAATAGAGGTCACGAAAACCTTCGTTGACGACAGAAACATTAATTATGCTGCAATACATTGAGAGAAAAGAAAAAAAACTTGAAATGAGGGAAAAAAATGTCGCCGTGAGTTTTAATGGAAAATCTGCGACAATAATTTTCTTTTCTAAACATACCACTGACGCTCAACTTTATTTGGCAGCAAGTTGTAAATAAGTGGGAAAAATATGCACGATCATTAATCGATCTGTGCTATTGGGTCGGCATTTTTATTTAGTGTACGTCATATTAAAAGTGTTTCTGACTCCTCTCTTTCCACCTTGAGACAAACTTTTTTAAGAACCCCCCCCCCAACCTCATTTATAAAAAAGGGGGAAATTAGATAAAATTTAAAAAATAATTGCTTATAAGTTAACAATTGGTAAGAAATCTCAAGTCACCTCCAAAGAGGTAAGCCGAATTTTTTGATTGAGTCAACAGGAGGATATACTTAAGCATTGTTACCTAGACAAGTGAGGTATTGCTTTTGATGTATTTTTTTAAACGTTGAATCAAATGAACCCTAATGCATCAAACTAAAAATTTAGAAGGGTATTTGAAAACACTGCAAATTTACCTACTTGCGGGTCGGCATTGATATTTAGATAAATAAGATGCTATTTTCGATGCATTCGTTTATGCTAAATTGACTAACTGCATAAGATTAATAAAATTATGATGATTATTTTTGATCAAAACTTTCGATTTATATTGTTATATAGTACGGAATAATCAAGATATAGAGAAGCGAAATGATTTACGGGCGATAACCTTCTGTTATCTCTTAAACTTTTTTGATGTTAATGATGCTGTTTAATTTTTTTTTTTTTAGAAAAAAATTTCTTGTTCCAATTTTTTTGCTTATCACCCCAGCCAATACAATATTTTTTGGAAATAAAAATTATTGTTATATATATTCGTAAAAATTTTTCTTTTTCTTTCTCTGAACTAAATGAGACCTAATTCGACAGAACTAAACGTTTAGAAAATACTTTGTGTATAAAAACTATAATTTTTGATTTATACCATTTTACGCATAAAAAACTAAACTAGCTTCAAAATTTTTAGTTTCAACTACTTACGTAGCATAAGAAATATTATGAAACAGTTTTCTAGATCGAAATTTAAGACTCGGTTATANACGTTGAATCAAATGAACCCTAATGCATCAAACTAAAAATTTAGAAGGGTATTTGAAAACACTGCAAATTTACCTACTTGCGGGTCGGCATTGATATTTAGATAAATAAGATGCTATTTTCGATGCATTCGTTTATGCTAAATTGACTAACTGCATAAGATTAATAAAATTATGATGATTATTTTTGATCAAAACTTTCGATTTATATTGTTATATAGTACGGAATAATCAAGATATAGAGAAGCGAAATGATTTACGGGCGATAACCTTCTGTTATCTCTTAAACGTTTTTGATGTTAATGATGCTGTTTAAATTTTTTTTTTTTAGAAAAAAATTTCTTGTTCCTATTTTTTTGCTTATCACCCCAGCCGATACAATATTTTTTGGAAATAAAAAATATTGTTATATATACTCGTAAAAATTTTTTTTTCTTCTCTGAACTAAATGAGACCTAAGTCGACAGAACTAAACGTTTAGAAAATACTTAGTGTATAAAAACTATAATTTTTGATTTATACCATTTTACGCATAAAAAACTAAACTAGCTTCAAAATTATTAGTTTCAACTACTTACTTAGCATAAGAAATATTATGAAACAGTTTCCTAGATCGAAATTTAAGCCTTAAAAGGACAAAAAATTCCAATCAGTATTACTTAAATCACTAGATTTTAAAAAAATTGGAGAACTTAAATAAAAAGTAGACGAAATTTCAAAAATAAGCATGTTAGCAAAAACAGTATTTCTTCGGAGGATATACTGCCCTGCTGACATACTGCAGTCTTTCTGTAGTCAGTGGTTAAACTGAAAACTGTCCCCAGGTCCCATAATGGAAGACAAATTAAGAATAAAATACAATACTTAAAAAATTCAAAGACTAAAATAAGAAGGAAAATTCAGAGAAACACAATTATATCTTAAGACACATAAGCCAAAATTACATCACTATGTTCATATGTTCATATCATGTTGAGAATAATATGTTAGCCCGGCAGTGTATCCCCGGAAAAAGTACTGTTTTTGCTGACATGCTTATTTTTGAAATTTCGTTTGGTTTTTATTTAAATTCTCCCATATTTATTTGAATTGTGTACTAAAGACAATTTTGGTTTTATGCTGCTATTAACGCTTTTCCATTTTGACTTAATGTATTAAAATTTAGGTTTTCACTTTTATTTAATTCCATTTTTCATACTTTTAACGGATTAAATCACTAGATATAAGAAAAATTAATACAGTCAAACCTCGCTATAGTGAACCTCGAAGGGACCGAAATTTCGGTTCACTATATCCGTACTACAAACAATTTTAACTAATTTTTCCGAACTGCTCTCTTTTATTGCACATTATATAAATAGATGGCCAATAAAAAGAAATACAAAAATGATTGAAAAACAATATCTAGTAGCAAAAAATGTGTTAACTTTTGTTTTTTATTACTCATCGTCTTGCGTACAAAAAATGCAGGGATGAGAAAACTGAGATAGAAGAAGCAAACAAAAAAAAAATCCTTATGGCTGTATTCCACTCAATAGAAGGTTAAAAATCGGTATATGTATTTTATGTAGAAATTTCAAAATTACCAAAAAATGAAGAAAAAAAATCACTCGAAGACATAAAAAATTTTATAATATCCAATTTCTTCTCGTCCTTTGGTTCACTATATCTACAAAAAATAATATTACAAGTGTATAGCAAGTCACGAGAGCGAACATTTCGTTAACTATATCCGGGTTCACTATAAACCATGTTCACTATAACGGGGTTTGACTGTAGTACAAAAACACATTGAACAGTGTTCAAACAATGCTTTTCATTATATTAAGTTTTACTACGAGTTCAAGGCATTCAAACTATGCTTTTTTTTATTAGAATATTATATCCACCTTTGAACGAGATTCGATAAAAACAGCCCTAAAAGAACAACTCAACAAAATTAAAAAAAAAAATTATCCGCATAATTGTTTTCTAAATCACAAGAGTTATAAGAATAATGAACGCTAACTGTATTTCTAATAAACGAGACCGAGGTCAAATAACTGGCCATAAAAATAAATACTAGAACCAGTTTCTGACGAAAGGTTACTTTTCATCGTGAAACGAAAATAATGTTCCGGTGAAACTGTGACAAAAATAATGAAAGATGCTTAACACGACTTTTCAATAAAAAAATGAGGAAAATATGTACGTCACGTTTAACATATTTTTAATAACTAAGAACGCTCTGAATATTTTAGAGCCGAACAAAAATATAACTTTGTTGTTGAAAAAATATTCATATTTCAGTCAAACATAATTCTAAAAAATTCTTCAAATAAATAACCTTGTAATTTAAATTTACTTTATGAGTATCTAAAAATAATATTAAGAATAATCTATATCTACTTCAGTTGGTACTACTTTATGAAGTATAAAGCTTGGAAAATGTTTTGAAGTCAAAAAAGATTTTTCTTTTTTGTTTTTCGATATAATAATTCTTATAATTAAACATATAAGAATAAAATTTGAGCATATTTTTCACCTTCATAATATTTTTGTTGAGAGCTGATTTTCAAAAACCATTTTGAAGTAGTGGGGAAGTAGTAGTTTCAAAAAACTAATGCACTCTTATTGAATAATTTTTTTTTTGTTTATTTCCCAAACGTATTGAATGAATGATTTCTAATAGAAGAATAATTTTGGGTTCTGCTGTATGGAAAAAATCTGCGATATTAGTAAATATTTAAATCACATATTGCATGGTTAAATAAGTTGCGTTTAAAGAAATGACTATCTAAAACAGTGTTTCAATTTCGTCCGAGAGAAACTGAATGGACATAATGGAAAAAACTAGGACGAAATAGAAAAAACTGAAAAAAAAATCAATACAATTGCTAAGCAAAAAAAAAAAAAAAAAAAAAAAAAAAAAAAAAAAAAAAAAAAAAAAAAAAAATGAAAAAAAAAAAAAAAAAAAAAAAGAAAAAAAAAGAAAAAAAGAAAAAAAAAATGAAAAGTATTATAAGAATACCTTAAATTTAAAATAGTACCAAAAAGTTTTATTTATTTATTTATTTATTTTTTATACAGAACTTTAAAAACCTGCGCTAAAAAATAAAACGGTTGATTTAATAGAGAAATTCCATTAGCTATCCTACCAGTTTCTCGCTGTAATTTGCTCAGAGAAAATCTGTAAATT